TGAAGCGTTCAAAGTTAGATCTTTTGCTTTCTTGTATCCCAAGCACGAATTGCCTTTATTATGCACATCCTTAACAACATTGAAGGGGAGGGGGGGTGGGGCAAATATGGTCTTAAAAAAGTGCTCCTGCATACCCAAAAACAAAAACGAGCTTCGCCTAACTTGTTTTATTTTTGGCCGTTTATCACCCAAAAAGTTTCCAACAATTCACAATGAAATTCATGGGTGAAAACAACGAGACATCCATGACTTTTACAAAAGTCATGAATCACAATTTTACGAGACTCCGAACTCTTCAATGGAATGAATTGCAAGTGATGGCAACAAAAGTTCCTCTTTTTATTGACTACTTTGAAAATGGTTTACATAGTCACTAAATCTATATCGAAACCGCCACAACTAACTGAAAATTCCACCAAAGAGCAAAATGAAGCTTATAAGAGATGGATGGAAGATGACTACGTCTGTAAAGGTTATATTCTCAATGTATTGGTAGATCCTATATACAACATGCATGCATCAGTTGTGACAACGACATAGTTACAGAAGCTTTTTGAAACCAAATAGCACACAGACGAGTCCGGTAACAAAAGGTTTTTCATTTCTATCTTTCTATACTTTTAAATTCATTGAAAACAAGTCAATATTTTCTCAAGTATATGAATTCGAACTTCTCGTCAATGAACTTAGTCTTTCCGCTTGTAAACTTTGAAACTCAACGAAACATTCTTTACACTAAAGCAAACAGGCTTCACAATTGATTTCACTATTTACATTTGCTTCTATAATTATTTTTTGTTGGCCTTAGACTTCTGATCCTTAGAATTATCAATCCAGATTGTAGGAAATAAAGTCGTCTTGCTGTTTTGAGCATTAAATTTTTGCCCAACAAGGTTTTCCTTGGTTTGAAAATCCATATTTCCATTTTTTTTTTCCTTGAGTCTAGTCTCTACTTCAATTCGAAGAGGTCTCTAAAGATGAACAAAATCATGATCAACTTTCTTGTGCTTTATTTTCTTTTGATACTCTTTTCAAGATGGGGGTAGCTTGTGAATTATGATGCCTACTTGAAAAGATTCATCTAACTAAATAACATATTCTTAAGGGAATAGCTTCAAATCCTTTTTTCTTTTTAACAACCATAATGGTCAATAATGAAATGATCGATTTGAAAGTTTTTCGACACAAAAACTACAATTTATGGGTAGTCTTGAGGTGAGGTTTTACTTATTTTGATAGGGTTGCAAGCCTATCAAGTTATTTTCCCAATTTAAATAAGGAAACTGGTTTGATAGGGCTGCAGCCTTACCAAAATAAGTAAAGCCTTGCCCCATAAGTCATCGAAAGTTACAATTCTAGTTTCGGAAAACCTTTAAACTGATCATCTCGGCTTGAACATTCGTTGCGCAAAATTAAAACTAAAAAGACTTCAAGGTCTAACAATAGTGTGTATTGTACTAAATTATCTTAGACTATTTATTTCGCCCTAAAAATAAATATTTAAATATCTGCCAGATCTGTACTATTTTTTAAGTTTCAAATTTTACTGTCAGTGTTAGAAATAGACTTTTGAGCCATCATGAAGATTTTAAATGTTGAAAGTGGTTTTTGGATGAGGATTTGCATGATGATTTAGTTTGTTTTTATAAAGCCTAGGCCTTATAGAAACTTCATCCTTTTAAATAATGAAGCATTGCGCGGTAAAAAGAACCAAAATCTAGGGGCTTTTTGTATAGAGCGGCGGCTTATAAACGTCAACCCTAAACAACAAAAGTAAAACGATCCCCAAAACGCCAATGATGGTCTCAAGATCTATTTCTACATATTATTATGAAATTTAGATATCAAAAAATATAGAAATTGGGTAGATCTATAAACACTTAAAATTTTTGATAATGAACAGTTTACAATTTTAGAACTTAAAATTCTTTTTATATATTTACATTTCGAGGTCGAAATAATAACTCTTGAGTTTTTTTAAATATGAGAATGTGCACCATACTCTGATGCCGTCTATAAACTTTTAGGAACTACTTACCAATTATAGACTGGATTGAGGGGAAGTACATAGGCTAATCCATCATTCATCATTTAGGTGGATGGTGGAGATATTCCTACCATCTCTCAAAATCTGCCATCTTTTGCAAGTTGAGAAACGGATCATCTCTCCATCTGTATTCGATGAGGGACGGTCATATGGGCCTCCATGTTCAGTATGCTATATACTTCATTTTGTACGATATAACGTTAGGCAGCTAAAACCGAAGAAGCAGTGGCCTTTGGTTGTGATTGAACAAGCAAAATATTTTCATGGTTACTCGTCTCCGAGCCTTCAACGGTTGCAACATGTAGGGGTGGCAACGGGTTGGATCGGGCCCGATCGGACCAAACCCAAAGTTTTGGGACTTGGACCATACCTAAAAATAAAATATATATATTTAAATTGATTTAAATGTTATATTAAATATGTACATGTATTACTTAGATATTATAATTAAAATATATGGTTATGTCATTTAAATATTAGTTAAATATTATTAAAATATTATATATTAAATATAATATATATAATAACACTATGCAGGTCAGGTCCACATGGACCTGGACCTGGACCTCGACCAAGACCAGAATAGTGTTCGGGTCCAATATTTGGACATATTGGACCCGGGCCCAACCTGCAGGTCCAAGTCATAGACCCGTACCAAACCCAAGCCGGGTCAGTTCCATTGCCACCCCTGGCAACCTACAATTTAAGGCTTTGTATTCATACTCAAAATACTCAATTTTTTATAAGAAAATAGTCTATATAAGGTTGCAACCTTATGCCATTAAAGTATCGTGCCTCTCAAAAATTCAATAGAAGAGAGTGTCCCAATGTTGGAAACCCTCTAATTGTTCATCTTGACTTCGACATTTATAAACATGAAGAAAAAAACATAATTTCAAGTCCAAAAAATAGTGCATCTTGTAACAACTTATCTAGACTGTTTATTTTCAGGGTTTTCAAGTATTTATTAATCTCGATCTTTACTATTTTTGAAATTTTAATTTACAACAAGGGGTAAAAATAGAGTTTCAAGCCATTACAAGGTTTCTAAACAAATTTTAGATACACCTTACTTCTACAGTACAAGACGGCAACCTTATGCAAACCTCACCTTTTTACAATGAGAGCGTTTGTCGTCTTTTCATGGGTGATCGGTTTTGTTTAGTTTAATAATAACATTTTTATAATGGGAAAGGTTCCTGTACTTCCCCATAAAAGATCTATGCTTTCCCTATCATCCAGCCGTCTAATTTTAATCAAGAGAGCCACTCACCGTTTGATTTTATATCCGACATCTCAAAGTATTTTATTTTTAGTTTTTTTAATACAAATTATATGAATATGAAATTTGGTGCTTGCCATCTTCTCATTGGGGCACACATATAAAAAATATTTAAAATGATTTTTCAATAAAATATAATGACCAAAATACCCCTTGAAACTTTCAGAGGTATTTTGATCATTTTATATTATTGAAAATATTTTTTTTATATTTTTTGCTAGTGTGAGTTTAATAGAGGATTGGACATACAAAATTTGGTGTTAAAATAGTTTGTAGAAAAAAATTAAAAATAAAATAATATAGAGACGTGATAATGTAATTGGGGCAATCTTAGCCCTCCATTCAAAAAGAAGGGTTGGAGAAGGGGAAGTATATAAGTTTTATATTGTAGGGAAAACATAAAAAGCTTGCCCATAGTTTATCTGGCTTTATTTAGTGGGAAATTCCCGTTACACACTCCTTACCCTCCATATCTTTTTATCTCTTTCCATAAAGGAAGAAATTTGTTTTACAAATTATCAAAAAACAAAAACTCCTTTTGCAATAAAACTTTCTTACATGTAGGGGGATAGGGGTAAAACTTGATATCTTGAATCTTATTTTGTTTTGTTTGGAAGCAAAATAAGAAATGAACTTTTTATTTAATTTTTGTTTTTTTAATTTCAAACTGCTTTTGTTAAACAATCTTTTGGCCCAATTTAAGATTGGGGAATCAAAACACAAATGACACTAGGACATTAAAGACTGGATTCCTAATACCCATCTAGAGTCCTGTACAATAAAGTATGTTTCTATGCAGAAGAAATTTAAGTTTGAAATTATCTATATTCCTTTTAGTAAAAATATGGCATATCACAAATTTTTTTTTGAGTTACATGTTATTTCTTTAAAATAACTTGTTTCAATTTAAAGATAAGATATTACAAAAGTAATATAATGGGATATTATACAATAAGACCATTTACTTATGATAAAAGGAGGTCACAATAAATATAACCATCCCATGTGAATCAAATAGCTTGGCAATGTCATAAAGTTCGATAACATATTTTGAATTTTTTAGCATGATTAATGAAATAAATGCAGCCATCTAATTTCACGTTCAATTTTCAGGTTAATTGTGACCAGCTTATACCAAAAGTCCACATTATGCTTTACCGGTCAAGGTGTCAGCTTTATAAACCATAAAGGTGTTAGCTGCCCTTTCTCAAAGGTAGTGAATATTGCTCAAATAAAGAATAAATTTGTCAAACTGTTGCCTCTCACAAAAATTTTGGGTCGTGCAAAGACACTAATTTACTTCTGCAGGAGTACACCAATCTTATTATTTCAAAGCCCAAAAGTGGTATTATGGTCGCATCTTGATTATGAAACTAATCACTAATATTATTTGACTCAAATCAGCCTTTGAAATTCTGAATTAAGTCAAGAATATGATCACTAAAGCACTAGCCTATCCAATTTGCTCCTGCAGGAGTACACCAATCTTATTATCTTATTATTTCAAAGCCCAAAAGTGGTATTATGGTCCCATATAGATTATGAAAGTAATCACTAATATTATTTGACTCAAATCAGCCTTTGAAATTTTGTATTAAGTCAATAATAGGATCGCTAAAGCACTAGTATATCCTTGTGAAATGTGAGGACTAACAAAATGACAACACCAAAAGCCAAATATTTCTATAGACTGTAGTGAAAACCTCCACTCTGACAAAATCCAATGTCAAGTGTTGCATACCACCAAAAAGATTCAACGCAATAGCCCTATCACAAACTCAATGAAAAGTTCATAATTTTCTAGTTTCTAGTTATAAGGATGTAACAATTGAATAACACCCAAAAAAAAAAAAATCCTAAATCAACCAAACAAAATGGGGGAGAAATGAAGCAAGACCACCAAAACAATGGGTTCCATGCACTAACTTGGCACATATTATGCACTCCTTGCCCCTAGCAGCCTCAATGTTGCAGCATCATTCTCTCTCTAATTCTTATGCCCTTCTCTCTCTGATACTAATGCTTCTCTAATTCTAATGCCCTTCTCTCTCTAATTCTAATGCTTTACAAGCAGTTATGAGTGAAGTATAAGTCCTCCCTCTAGGGGAAATGTACCTCCTTTCAAACCTTGAATTCTTGGGCTTGTATGGAAAGGACCACCCCATTGAGTTCAGATGCTCCATCACTCTTGTTACCATTGGTTTAGTCATTCTGAGTTTTTGACCTTGGTTTAGATCACTGTTCTTATACACCTCAACATACTCAGCTAAAATTTTTGGACAATAAACTGCCTTCAAATCTTGGTCCCCAGAGATATATAACAAAGACTTCCTCTGTTTAGAGGCCCTCAAATTTTGATCATTATCCTTGTATTCTTCCAGTGGATCTTTAGGGCAAAATGATTGCTCAATTGAAACATCAGATCTCAGAGCCATAGTAGAACCAGTAGAGAGTATATCTTCAGTAGATGAACTTCTTCTAATGGAGTTTGAGAGCTTAAGTGTCTCCTTTCCCCTGATTTCAGTGGAATTAGACAATTGAGGCAGAGGAGTTAGACCACAAGAGCTCAATTCATCGATTGTGCAGCTCCTCTGTGAAAGTCCTGCTTCTTGATATGCCATACAAGCTTGAAGGAGAGAGTAATAAGCTTTTCCACTCGCTGAAACATAGCGGAAAGCATATCGTTTATCACATACCTTACACTCCAACCTCCATCCAGCTGATAAAAGATGATTCACAGCTGTTTGCTTCATATGTTTGATGAGGCCCTTCCCTCTCCTACTCCCATTGTTGTTCCTGACTTCAATGTAATCAGTTATTGAGTCGGGGTAATGGTGTGATTGCTTCGCTGCTCCGCTGTTGATAACCTCCCAAGTTGATTCTCCTCTATCTAAGGAACCCCTCTTCCTCTTTGTGACTTTACCACACCTTTTTTGCTCCTCTTTCTCACTGTAATCATCGTGTGTACTTTGAGAGGAAAACTGGTAAGTGGATTCCTGTTCTTGGGCTCCATCAATCCAATGGTGCTCTGAATCATATTCAGAAAACAATTCATCGGTCGAATAAGATGGAAACTGGAAAGTGGGTTCCTCTACTTGGCCTGGATCAATCGAATGGTGCTCTGAATCATATTCAGAAAACAATTCATCGGTTGAATAAGATGGAAACAGGAAAGTCGGTTCGAATACTTGGCCTGCATCGATCGAATGGTGCTCTGAATCATATTCCAAAGGCAACCCATTAGCTGAATAAGATGAATGTCCGTTAGTTTTAGAGCCATGGCTGCTTACATCTAAAGCTCTGCAACACTCCATGGCCACCATGCCTTCTTCATCATCCACCAAGGCTCGCATCTGCTTCTCAGTCCTTTCTCTCTCAGCATCTCCAATTACCTGATCTATGAGCATCTCCCATGTCATTTTGCTCGTACAAGTCCACTCTAAAACCACCTGCATAAATTCCCTCTTCATACTCAATTGACACCACAACTGGTTGAGAGAGAGAAAGGACCCCTTTTTCTGGATTTTCTCAAGACATGTCATCAATGGCCATCGCCCCCGGTCAGTCCATTTCCTTGAAAATTCATCCCAATCCTTAGTTATTCGGATTTTTGAGAGAGAGATACTCTGTTCACAGGCTTCATCCGGAAAAAAAACAGTTATCTCCGCACACCCACTCTTGCTCTCTACAATCACACCTTCACACCAACACACTTCTATAAAGGCATCGACACAGAGGCCAGGAACCAGGTTTTCATGAGAGGGAGGAGCCGAAAGAGGAGGATAGAGAGCCCTAATCCTTGGTCTCTTGTTCTTGGAAGAAGAAGAAGAATCAGAGCCCAAGAATGGAAGAGATCCAGACATAGGGATATGATCTACGAACCATGATGAACCACCGCTTTCCTTGATTCTGTCGTACACAACTATCCATTCAGATTCTGTATAATCCGAGACCTCTGCAGGGTGCCATGTCCCTTTCAGCCCTTCATAAAGAAAACGCACCTGCACTTGCAAGAAACAAAATCCATTTCAAGAAGCAACATCCATCACGGAGAGTGAGAGAGAGAATACAAGAAAGAGATCTACAGAGAAACACTGACCAGCAAATTTTCCCACAAAACACCTCTAAATCTTCTAGATTTTGCTAGAAAGAGAGAACAAGAAAATGCTGCACGTCCTCTAAATTCTCTAGAGTTAGAGAAAAAGAAAACGTTGTAGAGAGAACCAGAAAACATTGTAAAACCTTTTTAGAGATCGAAAAGAGTTTCTCGAAAAGAGACAGAGACACAAGGAAAACCAAACTGGTTTTCAGGAAGGAAATTTAGAGAGAAAACAAGAAACTGGCACACACAGTTAGAAAGAGAATTCTCAGCAGAGGGGCCAGATAGAGAAAGAAGGCAACCCAATAGATTTTTACGTTAAAAGAAAAAAAAAAAAAAAGAAAAAGAAAAGAAAAGGAGGCAAACAAAACTGTTAGCTTCGCATTCCAAGAAAACAGAGCACGAAGAGATAGAGAAAGAAAGAGAAATGTAGAGAGAGAGAAAAAGAGAAATGTAGAGAGAGAAAGAGAGAATACCTCCACCTGGTCTCCTATTCTAAACAAACCCTTGCTCTTCTTTCCCATTCTCTTATGTCTCATTGATCCTGATAATTCAGCAAAGAAAGAAGAAAAAGCTCAGAGAAATGAAAACAACTTTCTTTTAACTGTGTAGAGAGAGATAACAATAGAGAAAAAACAGTATTAGCGATGAATGCAAATATCTCCGATAAATCTTCCAGTTTCAGAATTTAAAGGTGGGAAATTATATTAATATAGCTTCTTAAATATTAGAAGAGGAAACTTACTAATATAAGGTGTAACCCAGATACCACCTTGTAGAACTTTGCATAAAATTAGGGAAATTCTCTCTTAAAAATAGGGAAAATATTTCCTTATCTTTTAATTTTGACTTCCATATCTTATAACACTTGACAATTGAAAATATTACTGGTAAACAAATTTTTTCTAGCTTACCACCTTACAATTCCCTGACTTCTTTGACCACAAATTTTTTACCCAAATAAACACTAAAATGATATCCTATTCAAACTCTATCTCTCTAAAACTCCATCTCTTTCAGTTCGTTTCTAAGTGAGTTTAGAAGCCAAGAGGTTAAGTTTGAGTTCGAACACGAGCACACTTTCTTATGTGTGTGTGAGAGAGAGATGGAGTTTGGGTTTTAAAAAGAGATGGAGTTTTGAGAAAGAGACGATGATGCGAGAGATGAAGTTTTAGAGAGAGATATAGTCATTTCATAAATTGTTGAGGTCATCAATATATGGTTAAAAGGGTTTAAGGCATTTTACTTAAAAGTAATATTTTCAATTATTTGGACTAATGAGATATAAAAGTTTAAAATAGAGACTAATAGGATATTTTTCCCTTTTTTTTTCTCAAGTAACAACCTAAAATAACTCTCTTTCTAAAACTTCTCTTTCTCTATCTAACTCATAAAATTAACCATGGTGAGTAGGACAGGCAATGGACCCGCGGCGTGCCCTAAAAAAGTAGGCCTTGGCCACATACTGTAGCCCGAGGATTGGGCCGGACTGGGCCAGTGCTGGCCCAGTTTTGCTGGGCCAACTCTCTTTTTTCTTAAATTTTTTTTATTTTTTTCATTTATTCTTTTGTCCCCTAGCTCTTAGTGATGGGTGGGCTTGGGCCGGCCGAGGTTTAGGCCGGCCACCCTTATGTGTGAGAGGAGGATTGAGGAAGCCGTACCCGCCTTGTTAAAAAACGTTGACAAACTCCAAGATATAGATAGCGCTGGTTTAAAACGTGACGCTTAGGCCCTTTTTATGGTAGATAGAGTACATCAATATTTTTATATGGAAAAAGTTTATATAAACGTGATGCCTAAATTTTTTTTTATTTTTTAGAGAGTATATCAATATTTTTATATGAAAAAAGTTTATATGGAGCCGAGGCTCTAAACAATAAACAATCAAATTAGAGCTCACCTCAAAAATTTCACTAAAAAAGGTTGTTTCGATGCTCAAATATCCTCAAATTAATCATTTCGACATCATCAAGATAGAAAAAAAATGGATTTCAAGTTTTTGAAATAGCGCATCTTATAATGCTTTTTTAGACCGTCAATTTTCAAGATTTTCAAGTTTTTATAGATCTACTCGATCTGTATTATTTTTTAAGCTTTAAACTTTATAATTAGAGATGAAATATATTTTAAGGTTATCAAAAATTATTTTTATATTATACCATATTTCTCAACATTATTTGAAGGTGCACTCTACTTTGATCTTTTTAGAGCCTTTGATCACATGCCCTGCATCTCTCTAGCAATATGTTTGTCTATATTTTAAGGAAAACTTCTACCGCATACCTATAGCTTTATATAGGTAGAATAGATAAAGGAATTTGTAAATTAATATGGGTGGACATTTACCTAAAGTTTCCAAAATTTTATTGGAATTAGAGATAGTGTTATCAGGATCAGGATCAGATTGGGCACCGAACCAGAAAGGTGATGCTAGTCCAAACTGTTCGAACCAATTTCAAAGGATTTCAAAAATATTAAAGAAAATATGTTTTATAATAATTTTAAAATATATAGTATATTAGAAAAAAAAAAAAAAGTTGCTTAAAAACATGCAATATATTGGAAAAAAAATTGCCCATTCAGACCAGCCAAGGCTAGTCAAATACTACTTTTGACCAAATCTAATTTTTATTCAAAACTAGACCGTAGAGATCTGGTGTAATCTTCATAACTATAGCCTAGATGGAAAAGAGTAAGTGTTATGGACAAGGTCAAGTGGCATAGGACTATGGCCGGTTGGTGTAAACTAAATGATAATGGAGCATTATTGAGGAGCCCAGGCCACAAATGGAGGATTTCCACGAGATCACAAGAGAGGTTTCATAGCTTCCCACCACCACATTTTAACTCTAATACCAAATGTATAGAAAATAAAATAAAACTAAAGTACAATTTGCAAGCATAAAATATAAAATATACATGGTTATTTTTTACTTTTGAGAATAAAATGGGATTTTCATAAATTTCTCCTGATATTAATATAATTGACATAATATTATATTACTAGTTGTTTGATACATACCTTGATGATACATAATACTATTTAGTTATTTAAAATATTTTGCGATTTTCAATTGTTCCTAGGTATTTCTAGCTAAAAGCATGTAATTCTCTACAAAGTACTTTGAATACAATACAAAACCTTTTTAAAAAGATAAACTTATTTATAAAAATTGCTTATAAATTCATCTTAGATAATTTTATATGAGACATGGCCAACCAATAGATAATTCATTATCAAAGTCAAGGGTTAATTTTATTAAATCATCAATTATCAATGGTCATAAATAGAGCAGAATGACAGACTACGATTCACATAGACGACCCTACTTAATTGAAAAAAAACTATAATGATGATAATAATCCATCCAAACAAGCCAAGCCCTTAAAATATATATACTCACAAAGCATATCCTACCTCTCTTTTCTTGGAAAGGCTTGCATTTTCTATGCCAAGGTGTCTTCTTTGAGATGCTGTATGGAGTAGTTGGCAATGGAAACAAAAAAGACAGATGAAAAAAAAGCGAAGCATATGCAACTCGAATCCGAGTTATCCCATCCAAGAAATGGAAAAGAATCGGCATTTGAGAGTCGAGTGAGATCGCAATAGAAGAAGTTCAAACAAGTTCAAAGGCTCGGACTAGCTTGCTCAAACCAGCTCCCAGAATAACTAGGAACCCGGAGCAAGTGGACTCGGTGACTCCCAAGTGACTTCACTGTGTTTGTTTTGAAAATTATGAAAAATTGAGAATATCCCCCCAAATATCTATTATTTAAAATTTTTCCTCCAAAATTTTATTATTATACATACTTTTTTTTTTTTCCTCAAATTGGCCTTGCATCAGACTTTGAAGGTCTGAAGTTGAGCTTGGGATAAATTCGAGTTGAGGTTTAGTTGCCAACGTTGGGCAAGTTGGAAACAATTAAAAATTCGGAAAAGGGTCATGAACATAGAATTAAAAGAACCTATAGAATGGGGAGAGTGAGCCAGAGAAGCAAAAGCAATTGAGCTTGGGATTGATCTACTAATGGTCAACTTTTGCAAACTATTGAAGTACCGTTGAGCTATAACAGAGAGAGAGAGAGAGAAGTTGATTCCTTCCATTGAATTTCTATTTTGATCCCTACGTAAATTTCTTGAACTTTGGAAGGTTGAAAATGACCTTGTGTTCTCTTATCTTAATGTTATCCAAACTTGCAATCCAACTTTTGTTGGCTACAGGCAATAATTTAATTTATTTAGAAAGCTTCTATAATGATTGTCTACTAGTTTTGGTTGATCAGACAAGATGAGGTAACTTTTTTGTTTCATATTGTTCACCGTATTTTTCTTATTTTTCAAGGATTCGGTACAACTTGTCTTAATTGGGGCACACCCTACCTGATCGGTGGTTGGTCAAATAACGATAATATTGCTCTTATTTAATTCATATTTGAAATTTTTTAAAACTTTAAAATCAAATGTAAAATTAGAATATTTGAGAGATGCTCTAGAATCTAAAGATTTTAAAATTAGCCAAACTATGACAGAATATATGGAATGCAAGTTTAGTAATAATAGGAGTAGAAACAATGAAGTAATTCAGATTGGTGGTCAAGAAATGCCTTAAAAATAAATTGTTTCTGATACTAGAGTCGATAATCCAAGAGAATTGAGAGATTGAAGACAATTCCGCAAATAGAGTTAGAGCTGAATGGAAAAAGTGGAAATATGTATATAGAGTTTTATATGATCATTGCATACCATTGAAACTGATGAAGAAGTTATATAAGACAGTTGTAAGACAGTCATGTTTTATGGGATGGAATGTTTGGCAGTCAAGAAACAATCTATCTAAAAGACAATCTTAATTGAGATGAGAAAATTGAAATGGATGAGTGGCAAGACAAGAAATGATAGAATTCATTTTGAATACATACGAGAGAACTTAGGTATGGCTTAAGATTTAGGTGGGCTGATTATACAACGTAGACCTAGACCTAATCCAGTACCAACTAGGAGATACGATTTGATTCAAGTAGAAGGTTCTAAAAGGGCAAGACGAAAGCCCAAACGAACATGGATAAAAATAAACAAGAAAAGATACAGTGACATTTGGCCCTTGATAGAGAAGAACAGAAGAAATCATGTAGCCGACCCCAAATAATTAGAATAAGACCTGGTTAATGATGATGATGATGATTAAAACATAGAAGTTCATCAAATTACTAACGGATTTGGGTCCATAACCATGGGTTCAAATGCACGAGATCTTATAGCACTTACCAATGAGGCCTATCAATTAGTATTTAACAGAAGAAATCAATTATAAACACTAATATAATTAGATCAACTCCTCATAGATAAACTTGGAATTTGCGATCCCAGGTAAGATCATCAGGGGGTTTTTTTGTACAAAATGTACTTCTAAGTAATTGCTCCATGGATCCAACATTTACCTATATGACGAATAAATCAAATCAAATCATATAAGGAAGAGGAATATTATTTGTACAAATGGTACTTCGAACTTGAAACGAACATAAAGAAATTAATGAGACTTCTTTATCTTTTGAGTTGTTCTATCGGATCAGTCGCTTCAGATCTTTAGGCTCCACCCGGACCCCATGAAAAAAATTGAATCACTTTTTATGGATTCGTTGAGAATGATTCTGATCTAGTTCATGGCTTATTAGGAGGTCCTCACGGACAAAAAAAAATTGCAGTCGTGATTTTATTGAGCTCAAGTCAGGAATTAGGCTTGGGCTTGGCATCATCACAAACTGTCGAGTTCAATTCCTACAATTGAACTACTCACAAAAAAAACTCAAGGCATCCTTTGTTTCGCACAGATGAGCATCGATAACTTACCTAAAAACTATACACTCTTTGGCGTGCTTATGTAGTTGGGTTGTAAAACTAATCAAGTAAATAGGAGCATAATGTTTTAATTTTATTTCAATCACTTTTTCATCTACATTTCTTAAGAACTCTTGTAGATGGAGATTAGAAACAGAATACATAGTGGCATATCTTTACTATTGTTAAGTCTCTCTCTCTAACTTTGAGATAGAAAGTACATCGTAGTGATTATTATATGATGTTATTGGGATATTATGTTGTTTGCCTTTTTTATTGGCAATTTAAAATATCAAACTAATGTACTATTCATTTTGTAATATGTTTGTGTTCACATGACATCAGTATATATGAAGGGTGCAGTTTGCATAGAACTTAGGCTTTAAAGAATCAAATTAGAGCCTACTTTCAAATAGTGTCAAGTTACGTGGTTCAATAACGGAATCTTTGTGATAGCCTTTAAATATATTTTCTCTCTCTTTATAAAATTCAAAGATTAAAAAATAGTGTCAATCAACAGATCTATGAAATTTTGAAAATCTTGAAAATTGACAGTCCAAAAATGCGTTACAAAATACACTATTTTCAAACCTTGAAATTCATTTTTTTTCTCATGTCCATGTATGTTAATGTCGAGATGATCAATTTGAAGATATTTGAGCATCAAAACTACCTCTTCTAGTAGAATTTATTTTTGAGGGAGGCTCAAATTTGATGGTTTAAAGCCTTTGCTCTAGTATAAACTTTTCCTACATATGAATTCATAGAACAATTAGAAACATGAATACGTTAAATATTTAATGCATGATAAAGTCGATATTAATTTCTAATGCAGGTATAAAAAATCACTACCCAACTTAATAGTTTTAACTAGTATTTGAAACCCCAGACCAGCCAGCCGGAACGGTCATCTGAGAAACATGTCCAGATAGCAAATCGGTGATTTAAATCGGTGGATCGGCCAGTTTAAGCTGATCGGGCCTTTAAAAAAATTTCATAAAATTGCTAAAAACAATTTAAAAACTAGTTCTTTGTGTTTCAAAAAAATAGGGGTACTGCATTATGTATGTTTATTATTTTATTTAAAATACATAAATACTAAAACCTGTCTCATGTACCAGCATTTGATACCATTACATTCATTTCACAGTGAAAATGAAAATGAAATTTAAAATCCATCTCATTACAATAACATGGATACATAAGAGCATATTATCAAGAAATTATATTTTTATCACATACCAATATAGTGATTTTAAATTCGAGTTATTTCACAGAACGACACTCGTAAATATTGAGCTCCCCAACAGCAACAACCTCACGACTCAACGATTTTGAGCGGCTCACTAATTCAGTGACTCATCAATGATAACCACAGTTTTTAAATAATATTACGAAATATAATTAGCTAAATATTAATATTATCAAGGAAATGTGGCAAAATTACTATACTGATGACAATGCTCAAAGAGTTGTAGAACGAAGAGTCTACCTTTGCAGAAGTGCACCGTTTCTCTTTCTTTTTCCTTTGCAACATCAAACCCCGATCAGATGAGTCTTTCTCAAAGACTACGATATAGGATCTGTTTGACGATGAATCTCAGTAGATCAGCACCCAGAACGCAAACAGAGGTCACATCGATCAGCAGTCGGAATGCAACAGATGTTCAGCCAATCAGCTGGAATGCAACCGATGATCATCCGATCACCTGTATCGGTTTTCCGGAATGCAACAGATGTTCATCCGATCAGCTGCATGGTTTTCTTCGTAAGCCTCTAAGCGGTATTTTAGTGAGGCTGAGAAAACTCTGGTGTATATTTCATTAACAGAGAGAAAATAAAAATACAAGGGTTGTTACATAAAACAGATCGCACATATATATTAATTACCAAAAAAAAAAAAAATGGCACATATCTACCTAATGGAAAGTATGCAATTACCAAAAAAAATAAAAAATGGCACATATATGTCCAAATGGAAAGTATACCGGAAATATACCAAGATCAAATTTGTACATATCTCAAAGAATGTATTCCTAACAATATATATATCTTTTAACAACTGTACTATTTTTTAGAAAAATAAAATCCAATAAAAAATGAAATCAATATAGATTAGAGAACATTAAAAAAAAAATCTTCTAAATCCTTCCTTGTACAATGCAATACAAAATCCCTAAAAATTTAAATACTTATGTTTTCAAAACAAAGTGATTTTTTTTTTTTGCCAAAAAAACCGAGCTTTTTCATAAAACCAATCAAAATACAGCAACAAAAAATCAAGATTTTTAGAAAAAATATAAAAACAATAAAAAGTAGAACATGCATACTTACTAGAATTATTATTTCTAGCTTGTAAAATTTATTTACTTTTTCATATTCATGATCTCCATGTTAGAGATTACACGTCCTTAAAAATTAAGTCCAAAAATCCATCTCGAAAGTAGATTTATTAATATACGCGTATTTCTACATATGTGGGCTTGGACGCATAGAAACCGGGTTCAAAAAATATTCACCAACCTATGCTAAAAAATTCAAGTCAATATACAAAAAAATATATTTAAAAACAATTCCAAAAAAAAAAAAGAAAATATAAAAATAAGAACCATTGGCAAAAGAAATATTCACCAATATGTGCCAAAAACATTCAAATTAATATACAAAAAAAATATATAATATGTCTATATTTTTTACACTTTGTTATTTTTTAATAAATTATTATGTACCCTTTGTAGACACAAATCGGGGTTACTCAGCCGAGTTACTCACCAAAGTCAGTGTGGACTCGGGTGAATCACCAACACTGAATCCAAGTTGATAATTTTGCTTTATATGTATGATATTATCATAGAAGTTGTTTGTCGCAATAATAAGGGGATTTGGTGATTAATAGGGTCACAAAGCTCGGGTTTATAGACAATTTGATTGTAATTTTGTGCCCCAAGAATAATCACAACATAAACCAAACATATTTTAAAAGGTACGGTTTGTACAAGATTGCAATATTCTACACTATCCACCATTCGTTTGATTTGATCAGTATAGATTTGACACATCTTTTCAAATAATGAAAGTACATAACATGACATGCCTTTTATGATAGTGTCAATACATGGCATGTCTTTTACGATAGTGCCCAATCTATACCGCCTTTTCATTTCATTGGCTCAAATTTTTGAAAATTTGCTTTCTCGGGTTGACAAGCATGACATCATAATTTTGACATAAATGATTATGTAATTCTACAATTTAACATCCACAAAAATGAGAATTTGTACTGATATTAACAACTGCCCACATGTCTGGGAGGACTTGTAACTGCACTGCTTACAGCTTCTTGCTGTTTAAGGCAATTTTACGTAAATACAAGGGCATGATGATCGTCCTTAAGACGTAAACCATGTGCTAAGCACCTGCAACTGCAATATGGCCCCACATAAAACTGGAGAAGCAACCCTAAAATTGACCGCTATTGATTGCTCATATCTGGTACAAAGCAGAATACTTATGCTAGCGGACCCTGAGATCAGTCAACAGATTTTACAGCCACTCTGGTCAAATTCTACAAATATGGGTAACTTTTGGCAATTATATTCGGGAAAAGTTTATATAGAGCCGAGGCTCTAAACAATCAAATTAGAGCCTACCCTAAAAATTTCACTAGAAAAAGTTTTTTTGATGCCCAAACATCTTCAAATTGATCATCTCAACTTCAAGATACATGGACATGAGAAAAAAAATGGATTTCAAAGTTTTACACAATATATTTGTAACATATTTTTGGACCGTCAATTTTCAAGTTTCATAGATCTGTTGATCTATACTATTTTTGAAGCGTTGAACTTCATAAATAAAAATGAAAATGTATTTTAAGGTTATCACAAAAATTTCCAGTATTGAAACCACATTTCTCGATACTATTTGAAAGGCTCTAATTTGATTGTTTAGGGCCTAGGCTCTATACAAACCGCACCCTATTATAATATTAATAAACAATTTTCCGTACACATTTGGTAAAGAATCTCCACGAGAAGATATGACTTACTTTCACAAAGTTAAAGTACATTTGGAATGCGATGTGTTCCAGACTAATGTCACATGTGTTTGAGAACCATCACCCCAAAGCCAATACCAAGAAAAGTGGCAATGCTAATTCCAAATATGCCAGCAAGAATTCCAGGCATTACAAGAGTCCCCCATCCCTTGGCAGTTGCCATTCCACAGGCTGTTGTAGGGCCACCCACATTGGCATTTGATGCCATCAGCAAGAGCTTCTGATCAAATCCTATCAGTCTTCCAACTCCAAGAATAACAGCAAGATGAACAGCAACCTGGATCGATGCAAAAGCAAAGATACCAGGTGCCGTGTGAATAACATTAAATATGCTCCCACTTGCTCCCAAAACAGCAAAAAAGACCTGTCCATATACATGCCCATGTAATGATTTAACAGTGAAGTATAAATCCATCAAAACCAAATACATTTACTTATTAGGCTTCATTTTATCTTGCTCAGTTACTTTCAGGCTTCATTTATAACAGAAAAACTACAACTCTTCTTTAAAGGTCTAAGTAGGAAAAACAAAGGTAAATCATGTTTCAATATTACTACACACAGGAATGGTTGAACTCGTTTACTATTAGTTCATCATAAAGTATTAAACCGACAGTACTTGGATCAAATTCTTGGCCATGCACTATGCAAACTACTCAGGGAGGCTGTGTACACTGAACAGACAACAGTTTTCTGAGACCGCCATCTTGGTTACAACTAAGGAACCAATACCAGATCTGAACTATCTCCATGTTCTGTCTTGTGTAACTTAAAAAAGGAAGGTCTGACTGTTATCTATGCTTTCAATCTTTTTCATTTGGAAATAACAGCCCAAATATTGTTAAAAGCCATCTTCAAACGGCCAAGGTGATTCGAATTTAAGCATTGTTAGTATCGTTTCCCTTTTATTCTGTTACATCCACACCCAAATCTCTGCTTGCTGGTATTAAGACGCCGTCGCAGAAAATGAACATGAAGGGGTCAAGGTTCCCAACACAATTTTGGGAATTGGCTTTAAGTTTGAGAGCGAATACTAGTTTGGAGACCCTAGTACCTACTGTCATTATAAACTAAATTTCAAGGTGATTTGAAGTCTAAGCATTGTTAGTATCGGGGCCCTTTTATTCTGTTACATCCACACCCAATCTCTGGTTGCTGGTATTAAGAAGCCGTCACAGAAAATAAACATGAAGGGTCAAGGTTCCCAACACAACTTTGGGAGTTGGCTCTAACTTTGAGAGTGAATACTAGTTTGGGGACCCTAGTCGCTACTGTCATTATAAACTAAATTTCAATCTTGAAGATAATACCATTATAATATATGAAAATAACAAGAATAGACATTCTTAAACATCTTATCACCAGGGCAGGCACTGTTTGAAATAAAAACAGGAACTTAGGTAGATTACTGTTTTTTTTTTGTTTGGGAAAGTAAAAATTTCATGAGTGGATATTTAAGGGGCAGCTTTGACAAGATTATCTCGCACCAACGCATCCCTCAGGTAATCTTTTTCTGCCAAAGGTGTTGGCTTAGGTTGTTCAGTGTCTTGGATTTTCGCCCCTATCCAGTACTTCAAGAAAACATCAAATGAACTACAACATCACAAAACTATTAAGCTGAAGAATCAGCCCAAGTAATATTTGTAATTAATGGTCATGGTGCATTTCATTGTGATCCATTGTAGTAAATTCTATACCTCATTATTTGGTGGAATTTGCAATGGATATATTTAATGTTTGTGGACTGATGTGAGATTTTCATGCAAGTGCTCAAGAAGGGTTGAAGCTATGTCTACACAATTTTAGATACTTCGAGTAGTCTTAGGTCCATTATGGTCTAACTCAGGGATGGATCAGGAATGGGAGGGGATCTGTCTTATAAGGCATGCTTACCGAATATGCAAGAGAAACACATGAGGGCTGTGGACATTTGGAAGAAGTGTTTTACATATGGAAATAAATATTTTGTCAGAATTTAATATGAGGACGATATTTTCCTGCTTCAAAATGAGCTGATACTATGCTCCATTCAGAAAGGTTGTTTAGTAAGAGGAACATTTAGACATTTGGTTTTTGATACTTATATTATTTCATATTGACATGTTAATTTTTAAAATTAAACACCTGGACATTTTTTTTATTTATTGTTTATTAATTTGTTTATTCTTTACAACTATGATTAGAGCAATATGTGTTATACATTTATTTAGTATAAAGGAAAGCATGCAACCAGGGCCGTATTATTGAAATGATTTTCTTATTGTAGAGAATAAATGACTAAATCTAAATAGAAATTCTATACCCTTCAGTACAACAATCATTACAAGATGTGCAGCCTTAATTAGCTTTTTTGGAGGTTCAATAGAGCGACAATTTAGTGGGCATCTTGGCACTTTAGAAAATATATGCCAGATAGATTTGTACCAAAGAAACAGTGGTCAAATATAATTTGAATGGGGACCTTGGTATTTTAGAAAATATGTACCAGCGAGATTTGTACTAAAAGTAATAAAAGGGGCTGTTGTGTGACCATTCCTTCTCGATTCTTAGGGGATGTGCACTCTGAAGTTCTAATCTGTCTATTGCTGTTCTAATTTGCGCACTCTGAAGTTCAAATTTGTTTATTTTTCACAATTATGATTAGAGCATTACGTTTTGTACATTTATTTTATTAGTATAAAGAAAAGCATGCAACCAGGGCTGCATTACTGTAATGATTTTCCTATTGTAGAGAATAAAAGACTAAAATGCAAATAGAAATTTTATACCCTTCAGTACAAAAATCTTTACAAGATGTGCAGCCTCAATTAGCTTTTCTGGAGGGTCAATAAAGCAACAATTGAATGGGCATCTTGGCACTTGAGAAAATATGGGCCACACAGATTTGTACCAAAGGAACAGGTGGTCAAATATGATTTGAACGGGGATCTTGATACTTTAGAAAATATGTACTAGAGAGATTTGTACTAAAAGTAATACGAGGACCTGTTGTGTGACCTTTCTTTCTCACTTCTTAGGGGATGTGCACTCTGAAGTTCTAATCTGTAGGTTTTGAAAATGTATATTATGCTCAGGAAGCTATAAATCGGGATCAACATTGTATTGCTTGTTCTAACCTCTAACGTGGACACTAGTCAGCAGACAAATACTGGGGTGATTAAGCGACATGAGATTTGAAGGAAAAGCAACACAATGTGAATATAGAATGGGATGTTAGACAGTTAGCCTACATCAGCAACTTCACTAAATAACCAAACCAAGAAACAGTTTCCTTTCTCTTATGCATGAAATGGCAACTCTGGTAACACTGATGGAATCAAGACATCCTCATTCTAGTTAAGAGAATTCTGCAGACATTCAACTCATTGGAAACCTGCACCCTAGTAGGAATACTCCTGGTCATGAGGTGTGGAAGTAGGAACTGGAAAACAGATTATTTTCAACAAGGATCATGTAACTATGTTTTTGTTAATTTGGAGCCATATAGCCCCAGTAATGTTTCTGAAACTAAGTGGGATCAGTTGGGACCTTTCCAACTTCTTCTGACAATATACACATAAAAAATGCACCAAAGAAATCATGTGTGGGTGCACAGTGCACTTATGCCGCAACCCCACAACAAATTGGCAAGTCACATACTGCACATCTTGCTGATACATTATTATAGGCATATGCATCCACGAATCAATATCTGTATACAATCTTAGATACTTGAAATGGAGATCGTTTTCCACATGGCACAATGCACAACTTTAGCAAAAACATCAGCAATGCATCTGTCATGATAAGCAAACGAGTCACATGTAAATGCAGGACACATTGGTAAATAAGAAAAAGGAAAAGGGAACTTACTCTAGTGTGTGACTGTGATACAGTTTACAAATGAAACACCTAGTCTTGATTCTTAACAAATTTGAAGAATGAAGAGATTATCCTTAGAGGCAAAGTTTTCATGCTGGGAAGTCTCGTAATCCAACATTTCAATATTCAGGTGACATTTTTCACTGATGTGAGCCTATATAGAGTTTCAGCATTCCTTTTATCTCAGTTGGGTCTTGTGCGGATGTGAAAAGATCACAATAAGTGACTTAGATTTGGGCTCTCATAACTACATCCAGTACTTGGAAACTGATTTGACATTTCTGCTGTCTGGTGAAAATGGCTATTGAATTACACACAAGTTCAAGGAAGCCAAATGAGAAGTTCAGTATTGATAGTAGAAAGCACCCTGGAAACTAGAAACTGAACCTAATATAAGCATAATTCTTCATAGATGACTAGCTAGAATTGAATTTACCTGCAATGAAATCAAAGCCATGGATTCTCCAGCAGGTGCAAGAGAGCCGATTTGTTCTGGGAATACTGTTGCCAACATTACCACAATTGCTGTAATGCATGGAATACCTCCACCTTGGATACCAATCAACTTTGCAAGTTGCATTCCAAACTTGCAAATGGCAAGAGATAAACCAAGAGCTGTTGCTGTCTGTCGCACTGGTGAGCTACCAGAATAGGCTTCCTTCTCCCTTTGGCAGTCTGTCAAAAGTGGGATAATAAATGGAGTTACAAGAGTGATCAGAGGAATAAAATGTATCCTGCCAACGTTAAAAATGATTTGGGTGCCATTTCAGAAATATTCGAAAAGTGGAAATAAGAATGACCTGTTTGTTTATTTGGTCCATACACACCTTATTGCTTAAGCTTACACTGTCAACGAATACTTTGATTTTGAACAGATCTTAAGATTTACAGAATCAGTTTGTTTTGAGGAATTACTTTGTAAAAGTTCATTGATTATTTTAATGAACTCGGGAACTAGTCTAATTATAAATGCAGGATTCAAATTTTCAAAATAAATAAATAAATGCCACTCTCCACATGAAATTATAAATATTAAAATCCATTCTAGTTTATTATGGCAAGTGAATAAGAAAAAAGTATTTCGTGTAACATGAAAGGATAAAACATAAAAAGAGCGCAGGAATACCATTTGTTGATGCTGATTTCTCTTGAGGTATTCCAGAAGCTAATCCAAAAAGAAATGTGAAGTATATAGCACAAACAACATTGTCTGCAGCCACTCCTGCAGCCACAACTGTTGGGGATATTCCAAGGGCCTTTGAGACTGCTACGTAATTGATGGCTTCAAATTTAAAGTACAAAAATATGGCACAATTAGCCATGCTAGTTAATGAATTTCACGATGTTCATAAAATGCAACATATTCTATAACACCATCCAAAAGGAATTGATGAAAACCAACTGTGCAATGCATGTGATAAATGCCCATTCGTGTTGCGCGGGCAGGCAGGGCAAGTTATTCAGCACTAAAGGATCTCACACGATGCGTGTGGTGAGTAGGGAATGGTATATGGTTCACAAGAGCAGGAGCAGTGCTTTATGTACAATGCGCATTGGGAAATCTGCAGTATGCAGTGCTTGGTTTGCATTCCATAGTGTGCGGTGTGTGGTGCACATTGAATAACACATTCATTAATGCACATTTAAGATACACAGTGGACAGATGCATTGTGCAGGAGAGCTAAGAACAGTGAAGTTTACTTAATCGAATGGTAGGTGAAGTACAAGAACCTAAGAGACTAAAATAGTAGAAGAAATGGACAAGAAAATGTTCATTGTATGATCAATAATAGCCTTAAGCACCCTATTTACAAAAAGATTTGAACAGAGACATGGCACTCAAAGTTGGTTAAGAAATAGAAAGCAGACTTTGTCCGATCAGGAAATGATCATCTACTGTCATTTAAAATGTCAAAATAGGGAAACACAAAATTCGTATCTGCACACAAGGTAGGCATTTGGATTAATCATAAATGTATATAGCAGTTCAACAATTATCTCAAGTATGCATTTGCTACTAAGGCCATGTATAACCTTACATATTTATTGGACAGGGAAAGGCAAGATTTTGGGCAAGGATACTCATTTGCCTCAATGTATGTATGCTGCTGATCACGAATCAGAAAGTGGAAAGTTGGCACTCCAACCAGTTGAGTTCCCCATGGGACAGCAAAGGAGTTCCAGTCAGCTAAAGGGAGACTCGTAATAATCCATCATCCATGTATAAAGGGATTAATGAGGATTCTCCAGCATCTCATGAGTAATTGCCAGGTCTCTCACATAATATAGGAGCTATCAGTTCATGCAGTTGCTGAGAACTCCTGAAGGAGAATCTGTTTATCGAATTCTAGGAACATACATTATACAGCATATAAGGAAAGTTTATGGCCAACTGAAAGTAGCAAGATTCTAGCATAAAGGGCTGCAGACTAGAGAGGTATGCTCATTTTGCAATGCTCTACATGTGATGGTTGCTTTATCAAATCAAATAATTTTAGCACTGGCAGTGAAGAGAAGTAAAATAACTAGAAACGGTTCAAGCACAAAATCTGAATATATGGAAAGTAATGAATGCTCCAATCTACATGATCCAATTTACAGGGGACTATGTACCGTTTGGGCATGTGGGAGACAAGTGCACAAGAACATATAATACACATAGGGGGAATTTGTCACAATGCATCTAAGATTTTAACTATTTAACATTTTACCCATGTGTTTTTATTTAATTTCAAAATGCCCATTAAAATACACATGATATTGTGTTGTTGGATATTAGAAAAGGAGTATAATGTTAAACAGTCACATAGTATGCCTATATATAGTCTAAAGATTGATAATATATCTAGTTGTTTCTTTGAGTATCCTCCAATTATTTCAAGGCAATATTGCCCTTCTCTTCATAATTCATATTACACTCTCTGCCTTCTTAAATTAATGTTACACCTTGCAACCCCAAGGACTTACCAAAAAAACAAGCTTCGCATAGAGGATAGCTGACGAAAAGATGTAAAAATAAATCATTATTGAACAACACACGTAAAAATTACTAGTCATTGGATATTACTCTCTTCTCTCTTGAAATTGTGTTATGATACCATGTTAAGAATGAGAGAGAAGAAAGAAAAAATAATATTCAAGCACAAAATAAAGTAACTATAGATGTCTTGTTCACTCTGTACAAATCGTGGTACATATATACACAAATCCCGATGGGAGTTACAATACAGGTAGGTCAACATGCAAGGAGCTACAACCATTATGCATAACTGTTACAGCAGTAAATCACCCAAACATGGTAATTGTTACAGCAGGAAAGTCACCCAAATATGATAATTATAGAGGAGGAAAATCACCCAAATATGGTAGAATATTATATACATTATCACCACATGCAGGTTTCCATAATGGGCATGAGTCCCATGCAGGTTTTTGTAATGAGCGCGGGGCCAATAACAGTCCTACACCCCCTCAAGCTGGAGCTTGGTTCTGAATATTACTTTATCTCTCTTCCCTCAGAATGTTGTGGCAAAATGGAAAAACAGAATTGTTAGAAGTGGTGAAAGACATCTAAATAGGAGTGACGGTTCCTAAGATATATTGGGTTGGAGCAATTCTTACTGCTGTCTATGAGGTCAATAGACTGCCTACACTTGTTCTATACGGTGCTTATCCTTTCAAACTTCGCCATCATACACTTCCTTTACTTTCTCTTCCACCAAAACTTTTGTTTGTCTCTTCTTTGTGCATACCCTAGGGCCGGACTGGGAACAAATTGAGACCTCAATTTACTAGATATGTGTTCCTAGGATACTCAAACTCTCAAAAAGGATACAAGTGCTATTGTCCGAAAAGTAAAGAGTAATATGTTTAACAAAAATGTTACCTTCTTTCATAATATATCCTATTTTTCTTCCCAGGGAGATTTGATATCCACTATGCCACCTAACAATCCTATTCCTCTTTTAATGATGACATATAGTTGCAGTAATCCAACCAAGGAACACGTGGAATCTATTGAGAAACAGCTAAATGTGTGCACTGAAAAAAGAACAAGGGGAAGTATGATGTAAACGACCAACCCCAACTTATTGACTCGTCAGGTAATTGTCGGGTACCTGCTCAGCTCAATTTACCTATTGCCCTAAGAAAACAAAAAAAGACGTCCTTCCCATACAATCAGTAAGTTTGTTTCTTATGCTTCACATTCACCTTCATTCCATGCATACCATTGCTCTACTTTCTCTGCTCTGATGCCCACCAAAGCTGCAAATGCATGGGCTCATCCACAATGGAAAGCAGCCATGATTGAGGAATTGAGTGCCTTAGAGAAGCAGCGAATTGGGGATATTAATTAATCGGCCAGAGGGATAACATGTAGTAGGATGCAGGTGGATGTATAACCTAAAGCACAAACCAGATGGTTCCATTGAGAGACACAAAGCTCGTCTAGTGGCTAAGGGTTTTATACAGTTATATGAGGTTGACTATAAGGAGACTTTTAGTCCTGTAGCAAAACTAAAATCAGTAGGTACTTTTATCTATTGTAGTAAACAGGAAATGGTCACTCCACCAATTAGATGTAAGGAATGTCTTTCTTCATGGAGATCTGCAAGAAGTGTATATAGCATTGCCACATGGGTTTTATCCTTGGGGGAAGAAAGGGAAGGCTTGCAAATTGAGAAACACTATATATGGATTGAAATTGTCACGTCGGGCTTGGTTCAAAAAATTCAGTAAGGCAATACGTCAGTTCGGATTTCAGACAAGTGCTTCTAATCATTTTGTATGATTCTCATTCTACCACGATACTGATCGTCTATATGGATGATATAGTACACATAGAAAATAAGGATCACGAGATTCAAAAATTGAAAAATTTCTTGGGTGGTGTTTTTGACGAGTCAGTTTATGCACGCACCATGCTCCCATCACCTGGAGGCCGTTCATTGCATTTTACGATTTACAAGGTTTCTGGTTGGGTATTCTCTTGATCAACAATCTAACAATGGCTACTTTATGAGAGTGGGTGGTAATTTAGTCACCTGGAAGAGTAATAAGCAGAGTGTTGTAGCTTGATTTTCAGCAAAAGCCAAGGGCCGAACAATGCGACAAGTGAAACAATTTGGCTCCGTTCTGTTCTTCAAGAGATGGGTGTTAATGTATCAGCTCTTATTCTGCTACATTGTGATAATCAAGAGGCAATTATATTGTCTGAAATCCTCATGAAAGAACCAAGCATATTGAGCTTGACTATCACTTCATTAGAGAAAGGTCACTTCAAAGACAATATGTACTCCTTTCCATTCGCTCTAGCTTCTAAGAACCAATTGGCAGACATACATATCAAGGCCTCTAAGCGAGTTGGACTAATGGATACTTTGGACAAGCTAGGCATATATGATATATATGCTCCAGCTTGAGGGGGAGTGAAATATGCATGGGCCTCATGCCTATTATGAAAGCATACATGCGGTGATAATGTGTATAATATTCTACTATATTTTGGTGATTTTTCCTATTGTAACAGTTATCATATTTGGGTGATTTTCCTGCTATAACAGTTACCAAATTTAGGTGATTTCCTGCAATAACAGTTATGCATAATGGTTGTAACTCCTATGCATGTTGACCTACATATATAGTAACTCCCTAGGTATCTGTGTATTTTATAGGGCACATTGCCTTGTGATTTGTATATAGTGAAAAAATACATCTATATTTACTTTATCTTGTGCTTAAATATTACTTTCTCTTCTCTCTCAATATTAATAGTAACAATAAAGAAATTAGGAAAAACGATCTGGGTGAAATGCATCAGTTTTTATATGCCAATGTTTTTGAGACAACAGAGTCAGATAATTCTAAAAAAGGATTTAATTGTAAAAAAAGGGTCATAATGTTACAATCTCTAGAATACATATTGTAATTATGATGAAATATTTTAGTCACAATCAAGACCACCATCAGTGCAACCAAAGAAATGACCTCATACACTTATGAATGCAAGCATCAAACTAGTTCCATATAGAGATATACATAATAATGGTGAAAATCCATGGCTAATCTCATCTAAATTACCTCCACCTATATAACTACTCATAAGAGCTGCAGCAATTTTCCAGCTATCATTACCAAGAGACCGCATAGGTACCAGCAGATACGCTACAACTGTTCCAATTGTTGTTGCAACTGTTACAGACAGAACATTATTTATAAACATCATCAACTGGGCCTGTTTAGACAAAGGGGGAAGAACATTAATCAGGAAAGTAGTGGACTATCATCAACAAAAAAAAATTCAATAAAAAAAAAATATATGAAGTTAATATTCACCCTTCACCCTTAGAAAACATAAAAAAGACAAAGGTTATATCGAAATCAAACAGTATCAAAAGCTACAAATAGTATCAGCTAGACAAAGGTTACATTGAAATCAAACAGTATCGAAAGCTACAAATAGTATCAGCGAGAGAGCATGAAGTATCAATTCTGCAGTTTATTCTTCTACCAAGATTTCCCTTTCAAAGAATAACAAGGTTCGGAGTGCTTTTTGAGCATTAATCAAACACAAATGGAAAATGACCAAGCAAAAGTCCAAGATATGAACGGGATAAGGACCAAGCGATCGTTAGGCACATAGTGGCTTGATAGACAGTGGAATAATATGAGGGTCAAGGGACATGTTTCCAGGACACATTTGTAAGATACAACTCGAATATCATGCATGGGTTATAACATAATCAGGACTTGCCGTACAGCCTCAATACACCTTGAAAGCCCTGCAGCCGGCCACCAGATATCTTAAAGACTAGACCCAGTCAAAGGCTATCAAAACATCTCAATATGAGATCAAACTATGGGAATTATATCCTCGTAGTCATTATATGCTTCTCCACTTGATATTGGAGAAGTGTGGATATATATTGATACATCTTGAGAGACTCCATTTGTTGATACATCTTGAGAGACTCCATTTGTCAAGGGGGCTTTGATGGCCAGATCTTGTGAACCTCATCACTTGTGTCAAAATGAGGTGAAACTTTGCAGAAATCCATATTGGGGCCTTATATACCTTTGGTCAAAGAACAATATAAATACACATTATCTGATACATCTCCTCCATCTATAACTACGGATATGCCCTGACCAACAGACCCCCTCATGATAATGGGGACTGATATGAAATCTTTGGGACAATCATAATTGGGGTGTGATATCCCTCTTCCCAAAGTTGCAATGCATTTGGAGATGATTTGACCCCTCAACAGCAATCAAGGCCTATATCCACATGCTGCCAGGCACATATACAGTAGTCAGGATGACCTCCGGTAACTAAAATCGAGATATCTTCCAATCTATAAGGAGTTTTCTCATAAGACCTACTAAAATCGAGATATCTCCCAATCTATGAGGAGTTTTCTCATAAGACCTGAGGAACACTGAGTTGCCTAACTTAATTCCCCATCAACCATGGGAGAGTGGCATCCTAAAAATATCCCATGTGAAAGTGGTTGAAACAAAAACAGTGGTCATCAAAGAGTCTCAGAACTTAACCACCCGATAAGGAGTTCTCTCACCAAATTTTGTAGAGATGTTCCTCATAAGCTCCTCTACAGGGTCATCAAGCTCTCAGGGTCCATAATTCCCTACGATGAAAACAGTTCAAACCGCAATGGTCTGATATGCTACCCAAATCTACAACAAAAAGGTCAACTTCACAAAGTATATCTCCCTCGTCATTGTTCCCTTTAAGATCAAATTTAGATCATGGAATTCCTCTTTGAGTCCTCTGTCTCCATGTCAAATTCCATTATCCATAGGCTTCTCCATCAGGAAGTGACAACAGATGAAGCAAGACATGCTCAAACAGGCAAAGTGGCTTTACCAATGGAGGCAGTCGAGATTGTGGAATCCCTATATTTACTCGCGGTAAGATCAAGTCAAAATGGGGTTGTTATATGTTAAGATTCAAATTTAATTCAGAAGGAGATCAAAACCGATCAATATGAGCCCATAAGGAAGATTTGAATTTAAATCAGATTGGGCTTTATCTTATAAAACCAACACATGAGAGAGTGGCGTCAACCACTTGATCTTCGGATAAACTCTACAATATTCAGGGTGATCATCTGAAAATTATTCATGCAGATAGGAAAGGGGACTGATCCCTGGAGAGTCTTGCGTGAATCTACAAATCAGTAAAGAGAGAAAGCGACATCCTACTTGAAAAAGATACATCTGCATGTCTGAACAGAGAGAGAGTAAGCCCCTTGATAGTGTTCTTGTCCCTGGGGCATAGAAATATAGACGAGAGAGATATACTCAACGTACAAACTCACTCCAAGCCCAAATCAAGATGGAGCAGGATTTGGACGACAACTATATGGGACATCATGTGTCCCCTCGAAGTTTATATTTTTCCTTCAAAAGTCCGTATATGCCTTAAGAACCGAATCAAAGGTGTTTGAGTCTGTATAACGACCTGATGTAACTGTAACAGGGATTGAAAGTCCCTGGAACTCTTCACAAACCCTATCCACACGTAAAAAACACTTATTTTTCCATTTATGAAAATAGGGGTGACTTTGTTCCCCTGATGTGTTACCTTTTTTATGGCTTTAATAAATATGGAGTCATACCTATATATAATTTCACTGACACATTTTTAGGAGACAAAACAACTTCAGTAAATAGAAAACTTTATAGATTTTGACAATTATCACCCCTTTAACAGAAGACAGCTCCCCCATTTCACTAATAAGCAAGATGAAGCAATAAAAAAATAATTGATCTGTAAAATTAGAAAATTTCAAGAGACTTCAAAACTATTCTCGTATTATTAGAATGGAACAGCTAGTGGTTAGTGATGCAGATAGAGTGTAAGGTCTGGCAGCTAGGAAACCTAGGAATCATTTTGTAGCATGGATGAGAACAAAATCATTGTTTTAAAAAACAGCCCACCTTGACACCTAAGCAGCACCTTGAGGCAGAGTAAGGCCCTAAGTGACTCACCTCTACCCAAAGTGAGTACCCTAGCATCCTATCCGAGGGCAGAAATAGGCCCTAGAGCAGTAGCAAAATTGTACCTTCCCCTGTAGAAAAAGGGGATAAAAGCATTTGGAGGGTACTATAACTCCCCAAAACCCATTTTTGAGCTTTTAGATGAGAAAACCACTTTAAAAACAAAGATTTAAGCTGTTTTGAAGAACAAAAGGTTTATGGGCTATGTCAAATTCTTTTCAAAACCAAAATGGCTATAAAACGATTAGTTTAAACTTGAAAGTGTGCACGAAGGTGTTTTCGCAACCAGGGCACGGCAAGTTAAGCCAATTTAATTAGGTTTTCAAGGCTCAGTTTACTTTGATTCTGGGTGTCTTTCTTAATACATTTCAAAATTGGGTTTTTGCTTTTTCTTTTTTTTCCAGGTTCCTTTTTAGCTTTCTTCTTTTTACATTATTTTTTTTTACCAAGTTTGGGTTTGGGTTGTTTTAGCCTTTATCTCGATTAGGTTTGGGTTTGTGTTTGTTGAAAATTCTCCAAGTTTCGTTCATGGTTTCATGAATTTTTGTCTTTCTTAATACATTTCAAATTTGGGTTTATGCTTTTTCTTTTTTTTCCAGGTTACTTTTTAGCTTTTTCCTTTTTACATTATTTTTTTTTTACCAAGTTTGGGTTTGGGTTGTTTCAGCCATTATCTCGATTAGGTGTGGGTTTGGGTTTGTTGAAAATACTTCAAGTTTCATTCATGGTTTTATGAAATTTTTCTGATTTCAAATTTCGATTTTGGAGATGCTTTGGTTAATGTAAATTTTTTTTAGTTGAGTTTGTGTTTCTTTACGACTTTCTTCAAGATTGAGTTCTGGTTTTAATGACTTTTTTCAGTATTTGTGTATTTGTTTAGTGATTCTTCCTGGTTTTGAATGTTGAATTTAGACCTTCTGGTTTTTTAAATTCTTGGGAATATTATAGATCCCCAATTCAACTTTCTAGACATCCTACTCCCAAAAACATTTTGTATCGCACCCTAAACCCCAATATTGTTTTTTTATATTTACCCCCAAATTCAAAAGGTCAATGGATTTAAGACAAAAATGCCCTTAATTTTTCTCTTCTCCTCTATTTTGGGGTCACGTGACTCTCTCTACCCACACTCTCTCTCCCAAAGTAAAAACCTATTCTCTTCTGACTAGCCTATGCAAAGTGACTCTGTGATTCTGTCTAATACTACGGGGGAAGGTTAGCCCATTAGAAGTAAGCAAAAATAAGAAAGAAGATATGAAGAAATATGAGGAAGACCAAGGTGGGCTAAACTAGAAATAGTATGCAAGGTTAGTTTGGAGAAGAAGCCTCGCACAAGGGGGCTGATGGATTCTTATGTATTCCCGATCCCGAGGTAGTGGGAGAGGGAAAGAAAAAAAAGCAAACTACTATAGAAAACTTCTTCATGAAGATGCAAAGAAGTTTGATATGCCAATATATATAGACATATGTACCAAGCGAGCATTTCTTTCAATAGCAAAACGAAAAAAGAAGATATGAAGAAATATGAGGAAGACCAAGGTGGGCTCAACTAGAAATAGATGCAAGGTTAGTTTGGAGAAGAAGCCTCGCACAAGGGGCCTGATGGATTCTTATGTATTCCCAATCCCGAGGCAGTGGGAGAGGAAAAACAAAAAGCAAACTACTATAGAAAACTTCTTCAGGAAGATGGAAAGAGGTTTGATATGCCAATATATATAGACACATGTACCAAGCGGGCATTTCTTTCAATAGCACTAGCTTAGAAAAGCATCAAAGTTATGTTGGAAGCAAGGGGCAGTTTAGGCCCGGATCAAAGGGCCCCTAAACCATAATGAGCTCAAGGAGCCCTTGCTTAAGAAGGAGGTGGAGCTCACAAATGAGTATCTAAAGACCCATAGAAATGCATAACCAGAAGTATGAGATGAAGAAGAGGGAGAGAAGTACCATCAGCATTATGGTGAGTTGTCCAATGCAACAATGTCTTTTAAGTCCATTGGTGAATTTGAGGAAACACATAATGCAGTGTTCATTTAGCATAGTGGATTAGTATATAGAGGATGTGAGTGAGTAGCACGTCATCCAGGTGGTTAGAGATATGGCTGCAGCTAATGTGTCAATTGACACACTATTATGAAGAAAAGGCCTCATATTTTGGACAAAATGACTAG